GTGCACTGGGCACCTTGAACAGATGATCCTATCCAAGGGGTTGATGGACCGGTGAACTGGACACCGGCCCTTAATGGTTTGCGGTTTTCACACACCACCCCCATTCCGGCTGGGGCTTGTTTTGGTCAGCCGAAAGCTCTAATTGTAAACTCCCGGGAAAATTTACTTGCTTTGACCTGGGCAACCTAACAATATCTGTATCTTTGTTTGCTTCCGATTGGCAAACGCTAGAGACGGAACAGTGCAGGCTGTGTTAGAGTATCAAACTTGTATTAGCCCATTCGATTGTTTAAGAGTCACCAGACAGACACTCTTGATGATCTTGGGTGTGGGTTTTACACCTTGAGAGATCGTTAATTCCCCACAGGGTAATGCATTCAAAAGTGAACGCCTGTATCTAGTAGAGCACAAACCGGTCAGGCTGAGAGAGAGAAAAAAACTGCGGATCGTCTCGTGGCAGCCATGATGGTGGTGGATTCGGAGGACACGCACACACAACCTCGGGGTTACCACGAAAATGACGTTCATTGTTTGATAACCGCAATCAGCTTCGAATGACCAAGGAGCACATGAGAGGGAGCCTAAAAATAGGAGTGAATCGGTGTTCGGTAAACCCGTGAAGACAGTTAATCAACACAAGCTAGTAAGTGACCGGTTGTCTTCGGTACGATCTGACAAAATTGATTTATTACCAGTGTAATTTTATGCACCGGTTTCGGTTGCTATATCATGACTGCCCATTTGGATAAAACAGTATAATGCCGGTTTGAATGTTGAGAGCAGAGTAAAAGAGTGAATAGAGAAACCGTATAAAGTTGCAATAATAATGCGTAGATGCGTGAGTGCCATTGTTTGCGACATTACACCACATAACTCAGTGAATCTGCCCATCGGTGAAGATAAACTGGAGATATCCACCCGGGGAACCGAACGAAACCTATATGACCCAGTCTCCTGGTTGGGGTTTTCATACCTTCACCCCTGGTGTGAGTATGACTAACCTCGACTTTTTCCACCCACTACCTGCCTCGGCAAACATTGCGTGCCGTGGTAACCTGTTTGGTGACATGCGTAACACATACCTCAAACGTAATCTATGGAGGTCAACTCTGCGCCTGACCTCAGCGGTGCTTGTCAGGTTTTCCGCCGGACTCGTGCAATGCGACGTACACAGCGGTGTTCGAACACCGACACTCTATCTCTGCGCCGTACAGTAGCACCGGGTGGACCACTGCAGCAATCACTTGACCTTTCAAAGACAGCCACATGCTGCGATGGTACCGCAGATGTTTTAGTCTGACAAATGCCAACGGAGCCTTTCGTATGCGTTCCATCATGCGTCTGCCCAAATAGCAAAATTCATTCACTACCCCTGTTACAAAGCAGCCGTATTCTCAAAATTACGATCACTTTATCACTCACCATTCGAATCTCCGAGCCCGTTCACCAGAACGGACAGTGTGAAATGAATGTGAAGAAAAAAACTGAGAACTCAGATGCGGTCTGAATTCATTCATTTCACACACACACACATCGTTATTTGTGTGCCACAATCCAACTACGTGATTATTTGATTTTATAGTAGTAGTTATTGTGGTTGATGTGGGAAACAAGCGCGAGCGCGCCCGCGCGCACACAGAGAAACAAAGGGCGACTAAAATTCAACGCATGATTACACGACCACCGGAGTCCACCAGTGTCGATCGATGATTTGGTAAATTGATCGACCCGATCTGCTGTGAATGAATGAGATTGTGAACCATTCATTCATTCACCAGCGCCAGAATACGAAAGTGATTGAATTTGCATTTTCTGCTGGGGTTTGAAAATGGACAGACAGCGGTGGAATCGTGTTGATGCACGGCTCGAATCACGTGGTTGAACAATGCGGTGTTCGATTACACAACATACACAAGGGCGTCACAATGCTGACCAAGGCACTATACAGTACTCCGCTTTGATGGCTATAATAAACACAACCCTGTGGAGCACAGAATGGAACACACACATAAGCACGGCAGAAACAAAATATTATGCCTGTTCGCTGAGCAATTAGCAATTTGCTTGCAAACGTCCCATCACACCAACCGAGTTGGCATCATCAGTGCCTGTGAAATGGCAGTGTTGTGCTTGACCCATTCGATTATGTATGTAGTCGTCTCCACCGACTGTTTTGGTCCCTTGTTCGACTCGGCTCGGCTCGCCGTTGAACCGGTACGTGGGGGAGGGGAGGAGGTTGTCTTTCATTCTGATTGCGGTTGTTGGATTGAGTTGAATTGGCGCAGACTGCAAGAATTGACCAAAGCATTATATCGGACAAACTGGAAGAAAACCGTCAACAAGGATCCGTGAACATCAATCGGCAGTCAGGAGATATGACCCACTATTGTTG